GAATCTTGCTGTTTCTTTTGACACGCGCCACTTTCGCGCACGTTTCATTGCGCACGTGGGTTGCATAAACGGACAGCAATTTTCGGGCAGTGGGCAAACAAATAAAACCCATAGGGCCACGGCATGGAATTCGGGATGGCATCAACCCTAAACTCGCAAGAGGGCCGCGAATTTCGGGTTGATGCCATCCCAAATTGCATGCAGGGCCCCTATGGGTTTTTTTTCCTGCCAGCAACTGCCCGGATTGTGTCGTTATCGGCGGTTTCGTTTGATAGTGCCTAGATGCGTCCAAAACCCACAGCACGGGAGTTCTGTGCACCAGCAGCCAAAACGCAACTGTTGTTTACGAGAGCATCGGGCAAGCCAGAATTTAGGAGTACATGGTAGAACCAACACGAAAAATGTATCCGTGACATGATAGGTAGCATCGGGAATCCAAAACGCGCTCGGCGAGGTTCAGGCAAGTGCCCGTGACAACAAGAATTGAAAACACGATTTTCCGGGAGCGCGTCATTCCCTCTAATATTTGCAAGCTGCAAATCGAATCGCGGAAAACGCGGCTCGACCGACAGCTCCATGTTCGGTCAACAGTTTTCACATGCTTCACTCAACCCCTTCTCCCCCACTCCTTGGTATCCCTCCTCCACCTTTTTAACGCCTTCGAAACTCTCGTCAAATCATTCCCACTCCCTTCCTCTCCCTTTCACTCCGAACTCCACAATTTCGATGTCCTGCTGCTCCGCAGCTACAGTACCTAGACCCTACCCCTCCCCCCACCCGACCCCCCCGCCCCTTTGGTCCTGTGCGGCGGAGGTGGTGTTGGCGCGCAGGATCCCCGCACTTCCTCCCCCCCGCCACCCTCCCCCCGCCGCTCCCCTCTCGTCCCCCAACCTTGGTTGCCCCTCCCGGACACCTCTCTCCTGCCGTGCTTCCCCTCCCGATACCGCCGCCTGAGCGGACGTCGGGATTCAGAAGTTTAGGAGCCACACGTTCGTCAGTCAGTTTTTGGCTTGGCCGACTTTATGTACTGAATACTGGCAGTGGGGGGCTAGCTCGAGGCTGACGTGGCAGCCGTCCTAAATGACGTGGCATCAACAAGAGATGCGACGCCGTGGCATTAGGCTCGTAAGCACGGCGTTCCTCCTGGTGGCGTCGTTTTGCGCGCAGACAGCAGGCGGAGCAGGCGGAAGCATTGGCGGGAGCATTGGCCGAAGGGTTGGCGGAAGGGTTGGCGCAAGCAGACGGGGATTGGCGCACTTTGTCCCCACGGAGGGTGCGCCGCCCCGCGCCCCCCTGCGCTTCTATCCCACCATGACTGCTCCCACCGGTCAGAACGTGCCACGTGGCGTCTCCCTGCCCAAAACTTACTACACCTCAACGCCGCAATCAGCCAACGTTACCGGAGCCGCCACTAACGCGTCCATCCCTTCCGATAGTAACGCCGGTAACGCGACAGGCGGTAGTAGGAGTGGCGCTACCGCCGCCGCCGCCGGCATTACCACGTTAAAGCCGTTCGCGAGCCCGATAGGGATTAGTCCGAGGTGGGGCAGCTGGCAGTGTCAGAACAGCGCGTACTGCGGCGTGATGTACGCACCGATCGCGGTGTATATTATCTGGTACGGGAAATTCAGCTCGACCCAGAAGGCGATGGTGCGCGCGCTGACGCGTTCGTTCAACCCCAGCTCGGATGACTCTATAACGGGTATGACTTTATAACGGGTAATCTGCTTTCCAATTGCCGTGTACGTTATCTGGTCCGGGAAGTTTAGCTCGGCCCAGCCCGGTGTACTCTATAACGGGAACGCTTTCTTGAATTGCGGAAAATATCGCGGCTGGCATTTCCATTCACTCCATTTCCCCAAGAGCTTCTATTTCCTCCCCCCTCCCCCTCCCCCCCCCCTCCCCCCAACACCCCTATGGCGGAACATCAATCGCGCCTCTATTGCCCCCCTTGGTTCCCTTATGCGTCCCCCCCCACCCCGCCTTCTTCTTCTCCCCCCCCCCCCCCCCGCCCCCCAGCACCTCTGTGGTGGAACATCAACCGGCTGTACTATGACCGCAAGGGGCGTTTTATCTCCAGCTCCGTTACAGTTGCAGATGAAACGGACGACACAGGGTACTCCCGAGGCGCCAGCCTCACCGATGACGAGGTCAACTCGCTTGTTACATCTGCCATAAGCAGCCGAAAGTTGCCGTACGACGCCGACGGAGTGTACTTCGTTCTTTCAGATGAAACCGTCAGTCAGGTGAGATGACCGACCATACTGGCTGTGCAGATGACTAACGCAGTGAAACGGTGTGCAGCAGATGACTAATGCTGTACATGAGGTTAAGCAGAAAGACAGGGAGTGCACCTAGCCACCCTTCCCCATCCCCTTTCTCTCTCCCCCGCCACCACCACCAACCCCCACACATCCTCCAAATCCCCCTTCCCTCATCCCCCTTCCCTCATTCCGCCCAGGACTCCCGTTTCTGCCCTTCCCCTGCCCACTTCCCCTGCCCACTTCCCCTGCCTCAGTCCGCCCAGGGCTCTCCAGTTTCTGCGCTCATTACTGCGGCTCGCACAGTTGCCCGGCCACCTTTCCCTTCGAGCCCACGCGTCTATTCCTCCCCTCTCTTCATCCCTCGCTTTGCCTCTTCCCCCTACTTTCCTCCAGTCCGCCCAGGGCTCTCCACTTTCTGCACGCATTACTGCGGCTGGCAGTGGCACAGCTCCATTCCCCCTCTGCTTTCCTCCAGTCTGGCCGCAGCTACCCCTCCGCCTTCCCTGTCTTCCCCCTCTTTGCCACCCCACCCCCCCCCCACCCAACCTCCGCCTCCCTTCCCTCCCCGCAGTCCGCCCAGGGCGCCAGTTTCTGCACGCACTTCTGCGGCTGGCACAGCTACAGGGTTACCACCATCTAGCCCTGTAGCTGTCCCTGTAGACAGCTGTCCCAGCTTCAAGGTTTCAAGCCCATACTCCCTTCCCTCTCCCATGCTCCCCCTCCTTCCTTCCAGTCCGCCCACGGACCCAGTTGCTGCATGCACTACTGCGGCTGCCACAGCTTCCACCCTCCTCTCTCCCCTTCGGGACTCATAAGCCCTCCTACCCTGCCTGACTTTTTCTATTCCCAGTCTCAGTCCGCTCAGGGCGCCAGTTTCTGCACGCACTACTGTGGCTCGTGCCTGTTCCTCCCCCCTCTTCATCCCTCTCTGTGCTCCCCCTGCTTTCCTCCAGTCCGCCCAGGGCTCCAGTTTCTGCACGCACTTCTGTGGCTGGCACAGCTACACTGACGTCTCTGGCAAGGGGAGGGCCATAACCAGCTGGGTCGGCAACGCCAAGTCCAAGGTGCGATGTGGCTTAGTCCTAGGGGCCTACCTTTGAGTCATGATCCCCTACCTTCCCTTCTTCTCTTTGCATGCGAGGCAGTGCCCCGCGAGTTGCATCACTAGCCTGATTTATTTTTTTAGTCGACTCTGAACACCCCTTCCCCCACCCTCCTTCCACCCCTCTTCTCCTTTTGAGCAGTGCCCCGGCAGTTGCATCACCAGCCTGATTTCATCCTCCTCTGCCTCGCCCAACCGCGACAAGGGCATGGACGGGTTCCTGTCGGTGTACGCGCACGAGCTGGCAGAAGCTTTGAACCTCCACATACCTTCCAACCCCCTATCCCTTCTTGCTGGCAGTGCCCCGGCAGTTGCATCACCAGCCTGATCTCATCCTCCTCTGCCTCGCCCAACCGTGACAAGGGCATGGATGGGCTGCTGTCGGTGTACGCGCACGAGCTGGCAGAGGCCACCAGCAGCCCCTTTCTGCTGACGTGGATGGACGACAAAGGGGAGGAGAATGCGGACAAGTGTGGATGGAAGTGAGTTGCCTGGGGGCTGGGTAGAGAGGGTAGGTGGTGGGGTTGTGGAAAAGCGACAAAGGGGAGGAGAATGCGGACAATTGCGGATGGAAGTAAGAGCCTATTTCTTTCCTTCCTTTCACCCCCTCGCCCAACTTCTTTCCGCCTTCCGATCGCGGGACCCCACTCTTGCTTGCTTGTTGCTCTCTTTTTTTCTCGTGTCTCCTTTTCATCTTGTCGCCTTCATTTCCCTCATTCTCTCCTTCCATCCTCGTGTCCATCCCTGTCAAATCGAGGTGACTTTTGAGTTGACTCAAAAGTCGCCTCATTTCCTATATTCTCTCCTTCCATCCTCGTGCCTATCCCTTTCAAATCGTCGCCTTTGGCGTCTAAAATCTTTACCGTTATCTCGTCCTGTCTTCCTCCCTGCCTCATCGGCCTAATCCTTTTTTATGCACCCTCTTACCACCAGGTTTGGCACTACGAAACGTGATTCCTCAAATGCCCCGTACAATCTAGTTGGAGTAGACGGTTACAATTTCATGATTCAGCAAAACTGGGATTTAACAAAAGGTAAGTGTGCAACTACTGTGCCTTACCCAGGCTCAAGCTCCTCGTCACCACCATCGAAAAAATCTCCTCCCCCGTCAGACTCTCCACCACCACCGCCGCCACCACCATTGTCAACTGGGACAGGTTTAATTGAATTCCTTCAATTTCTATGGAAGCTGTTTTTTGGATCCAATAACCAGCGGCCGCAACCACCATCTCCGCCATCTTGAAAGATGTGTTGGTTTGTTGTGATGTTTTTTAGCGGATTGCCCTTCTTTGTACAGAAGTGAACAGCTCCTAATGAAGTTGGTGAGAGCAAATGTTCTTTTCCGAGCCGCATATCGGGAACATTTGTCGGTGTTGCGTTGACCAACGCGGGCCCCAACTAGCACGTTGGCCAGGTTGGGTTGGTTTGGATTGGGCTGGTTTGGGTTGATTTAGACTGAGTTGAGTTGGGTTGGGCTGGTTTGGGTTTGGTTTTGGAGCTGGTAGGGAAGCGAGGCAGGACGAAACAAGGGAAAGGGCTATTATGCACACCTGACCAGCTTCACACAACCTGCGAAATCGCCCGAAACCGGGTTTATCGCGTTCCCATACATGCCCAAAAAAGTGCCAGTTTTCCAAAACCCACTACTCCTAGAAGCCAGTGCCATGAAAACTGTGTTTAGTGGCTTCACTAGATGGCATTGAGGCAAGGTTTGTGAGTGTATTTAGCACAACGGTATTAGCGCGTACTTATAAGTCATAACCGGCCTTAGGCTCGTGCCAGGCTCAACTAACGACTCGCCAGAGACAGAACTGGGGTCGAAATCGACAGCGCGACAGGAAAATGCCGCCGCCTCCTTTCCGCCGCATCCGCTCCCCTAACCGCGACGGCAACTTTAGACGCTCACTGCCGCTGTGTTCTACACGCTCTCGACTGCTGCTGGGGCTCCTAATCGCGCTCCTTCAGCTGACCGTTATTTCCGTCGTCGAATCGTTAGCACCAGCCGCCCCGACGGTAGGGTTCGCGACGCGACTTCATCCGCTGCTCGCTTTTCCGCTGCTCGCTTTTCCGCTGCTCGCTTTTCCACTGCGCGCTTTTACGTTGCGATGCGACGACGATACCCTGGATGAGTCAGCCGCGGATGATCCACTGCTCTTGAGAATTTTATTAAACAAAACATGTCCGTTCCGTGCAGCATTTCCGTTTCGAGGCGACTTCTGCTTTTGAGTCGACTCAAAAGTCGCCTCGTTACATTGTCACACGAGACACATTTTGAGTCGACTCTTAAGTCAGCTCGTTACAGTGTCCATTGGAACTTCAGTAGTGAAGTTCCAATGCCCCCCTCAAATCTCCTGTCCCTCTCTTCTCTCGCCACCTCTTCTTCCTCCCCCCCCCACTCCTCCCCCTCCCTCCCCACACTCTCCTGCGTTCCCGCCCCTCTCCCGACCTCCCGCTTGCCAGCGCAAAGCTCCCATCAGATACACCTTCATCAGAAGAGCCCGCTCCTTCCCATCCCCTCTCCTCTCCCTCCACTCTCCCCCCCCCACCTTTTCCCCTTCTCATCTCCCCCTTTCCCCTGGCCCGCCTTACCAGCGGAAGGCTCCCATCAGATACGCCTTCACCAGAGGAGCCGCCCTCTCGCGGGCAGATGAAGCCACTACCAGCAGAAGCCCCGATTTGCGCCAAAGGAGGGTGCTTCAAGAGACGGACACGACCGTCCGTCCCTCGGGAATAGCGCGCGTGTATAATGCAAGGTAGTGCACTGTACTGTACTGTACCTTACTGCACTGTAGTTTACTGTACAGTTCTGTACTGTACAGTACTCTGCTATGTTGTGCTGTGTGTGAGACGTGTCAGTTTCCCGGACCTGTCTGCTAAGCGCGTGTTTGTCGCCTAGCAGCAGCCTGCCATTCGCCCCTCGAGGCATAGACTACCACTGGGACGACCCAGACCCCGTGTGTAATTAGTATATTTTTGAGTCGACTCAAAAATAGGCTCATAACACCCAGACCCCCACCAGATGGCCTTCTGTGCCGCCTGTCCCTCTGCTTCTCCCTCTGCCCCTCCCCCCACTGCGGTCTCTGCTAAGTGTGTGCCCGCCCTCCTTTTTCCCTGTCTTTTTTGTCTGGTATCCTGCAGCCAAGAAACACCTGCAGGCGGACTCGCAGCAGCAGCAGCTGGGGGAATGCCTTCAGAGTCCTCCCTGCTACCACCTGCAGCATCAGCAGCTTCGCCTAGCCGCAGTCTGCCATTCGCCCCTCTGAGCATTGACTACCACTGGGACGACCCAGACCCCGACCAGATGGCCTTCTGTGCGGCTTCACCCGCCCACTGCGGCGTGTGCTAAGTGTGTGCCCACCCTCCTTTCCTCCCTGTCTGTCTGGCTGACATCCCGCAGCCAAGAAACGCCTGGAGACGGACTCACAGCAGCCGCAGCAGCAGCAGCAGCAGCAGCAGAAATGCCTTCAGAATCCTCCCTGCTACCACCAGCAGCATCAGCAGCATCGCCTGGCAGCAGCCTGCCATTCACCCCTCGGAGCATCGATTACCACTGGGATGACACCGACCCTGACCAAATGGCCTTCTGTGCGGCTTCACCCGCCCACTGCGGCGTGATGCACGCGCCTGTGGGGGTGTACATCGTGTGGTACGGGGCCAAGTTCACAGAGGAACAGAAGGATATCGTCCGACTGTTCGTTGCGTCCCTTAACGCGGACAATAAGACCGACGCTGCTGCTACAGGTGGGTGGGATGGGATGTGTGTTCTGAGGTGCCTCTAGTGGTGCCTGTGGCGGTGTACATCCTGTGGTATGGAGCGAAGTTCAGTGAGGAGCAGAAGGGTATCGTCCGACTGTTTGTTGCGTCTCTTAATGCGGTCAAGTCTGATCCTACTGCTACAGGTGGGTGGGTGGTTACCTGGTAACCTGGTTGTATATGACAGCCCACCCCCCAACAGCACCCAACTGGTGGGCCGTCAGTCAGGACGGTATACTTGGACCAGCACAGCTGAAACATCTCTTTGTTGCCACTCTTCCTCCCCTTACCCCCTCCCACACCATGGTTCTCCCCCCCAATCCATCAACAGTTCCCAACTGGTGGGCCATCAACACGCTATACTTCGACCAGCAAGGCCGAAACATCTCCTCCACCGTGACTGTAAAGGGCGAAACCCACGACACCAACTACTCCCGCGGCACCATGCTGCTGCACGCTGACGTGGCAGAGCTCGTCCAATCAGCCGTCGGCAACAAGTCCCTGCCGTACGACCCTGCCGGGGTGTATTTTGTCCTTTCCGACGAGGACGTGTCACAGATGGACGATCCGAGTGATCTGGGCGGCGCGGGATACGCGCTGGCGTTCTGCTCGCACTACTGCGGGTGGCACTCCTTCGCCCAAGGGCGGGACGGGAAGGCGAAGGAGCTGATCATCTCGTTTGTGGGGAACGCGGTAAATCAGGTGAATGCTGGGATGTTGGGATGTAGCGTTGCCATCCTGCCCGCACTGTACGCGTTTCCATTCTGCCCACTCTAGACGCCATACTTGCAACAAAAAAAATACACAAAAAAACAAAACAAAAAAAGGGGGGGGTCGTCCTCAGACGTCTCGTAATAAATAATCCCATTCTCCCCCAACCCACACAGTTCCCAGACAAATGCATCCCATCATACCTCAACCAGCCCGGAGCCGTCCCCTCACTTTGCTTTCCTACTTCCCCTCCCCCATCCTTCCCCCCTCCCCAACCCACACAGTGCCCAGACAAATGCATACCATCATATCTGAACCAGCCCGGGGCGGTGCCGCCCAATGGCGATGCGGGCATGGACGGCATGGTGTCTGTGTTGGCGCATGAACTCGCGGAGGCCACCAGCAGCCCCTTCCTCGCCACGTGGTTCGACGCCCAGGGCGAGGAGAACGCCGACATTTGCTCCTGGAGGTATGGATACGAATGGTTTGGGGCGGTTTTGGAATGGGGTGGTGAGACGCTTTCCAAAGGGTTGGATACCGGCATGGCATGGAGGCTATCTGGCGTGCTTCTCCTCCTGGTCTCATCTTTGCAAATATGGTGATGTGGTTTCTCATATGGCCCTTTCCCCTTCTTGGCCCTGCTTTATGATTCTTATCTCCTGGGCAGTTATGGCGACGTGGTTTCTGATATGGCCACGGGTGTGCAATACAACCTGGTTGGGAAAAATGGTGCACAGTTCCTCGTGCAAGCGAACCTAGACCCCAGAGCTGGAAGTTGTGCCATCTCACCTATCGATGTCAGCTCATCCATCGTGGGTGATCCCACTGTTGTGGGGACGCCTCCAAGCGTGGATGTGCCGGAAGAAGAGCCACCTCCATCGCCACCATCTTTCCTTGAGAGATTAGTAGATTTCATCACAAGCCTGTTCGGCTTTTGATTAGTGAATTATTATCCACAACACTATTTTTATCGTGTTCGGTCTGTCTGCTCCTGGCGGTGGGCACTGTCGGAATTACTGTAGGCAGTCGTTTGAGTCAACCCACAGCCAAATTCCCCACACAGCTCCTGCTAGCAACAGCAAACGACAAATGCGGCAGCCAATCAAGCGCATTGGCGACTTTTCGGCGTAGAGGAATCCCCACCACACATGCGACTCGCCGACACGTCGTGCACCGAACACCATTTTTGGTGACTTTCGTCAGGACGCGTAGTAACCAGGTCGTCAAATGAACACAGAGATTTCTCACTGTCGCAATCGCTTCGCAGCAGGCGCTTTCGCTCGCGGTTGTTGATAAAGCCCCCCCACGTCTCATCTCACTCCACAACGCAAGCTCAACCTAGCACCATCACTTCTTCGACTTGGCCAAATTATCCCCCTCCACACGGCAACAATTATCCCAAATCCCAGTGACTCGAGTTCAAAGCTATTTCGTTGCAACAGTCTCGGCCTTCGAGCAAGTTCACCACTTTCAACTCTCGTCCCTCGCCGCACTCTCCGAATACCGCGATCACTAGAACCCTCGCAGCGATGGCTCCATCTTCGCGTCGCCCGTTTTTTCCGGTCCTCATGCCATATTTTCTCCTCGCGCTCTGGGCCGCGGCGTTTCTCGCCGTATCATCAGCAAGCGCCCTGTTTCCATCCATTCCGGGAAGCGGCACGCTAGGCGTAAGTCTGAGCTTACCTTAACGTCGAACTTTAACGTCAATATCACTCTCCATATTGCGAACTTCCCCTACCCTGAGAATGCTTGGACTAGCCACACGGGCCCGCCCGAGGCCCGCCCGAGCACGGCCCGAATCGTGAATCGTGAATCGTGAATCGTGAATCGACCACATTCCTGATTTTTCTTTCCCGCACGCATCATCAGTCGTTCAGCATCTAAAGACCGCATTTTCATCTGCATCCCCCCGCGCTTCTCAATCCCTGCCCGTGTCCGGCCAGCAATGGAGCGCGATGCGCCAGAAATCCCGGATCTCATACACGCCCATCCGCGGCTCTAGTCTCATGAGGCGCGGCCTCTCGGAGTCGGAGGTTGCGAGCAGCAGCAAGGACGGCACGATGCGAAGAAGGAACCTCCCAAGTGGCGTCAGAGCGCTCATCGATACGAGGTAAGCTGACCTTATGTAGTCGTCTCACGAGGCCTTGTATCTCGGAGTCGGATGTTTCGTCGTATTGTGCGACGGGACCAGTAGTCTGCACCTACCGCGATCTCGCTTTCGGGTTTGGGTGCTCGCACACACAAGCAATGCGTATTGTGCTACTACGACTAGTAGTCGTAAGCTCAACCTACTACGACTAGTAGTCGTCTCATGAGATGCGGTCTCTCAGAGTCGGAGGTTGTGAACGGACTCAGCAGCAGCAGCAGGAGAATGCGGCAAAAAAGGTTCCCAAATTGCATCAGAGCGCTCATTGAGACGAGGTAAATTGAACCTCGGGCGCCCATTGTAGGTAGCTCGAATTTAATCTGCTGCATGCCTTGAAAGATTGCGCACGGAGTCTGTTTCTCTGTAAAGCTGATGATATTTGTCTGTCCCTTCGCCCACAGCAACGGCGCTCAAGTCAATTCCGCGTCGAATCCTGCTCCGAAGAACATCGAGTATCATTGAGACAACCCAGATGCCGCCTACATGTGCTCTTCAAACGCCAAGTACTGCGGAGTCATGTACCAGCTCATCGCGGTGTTCCTCCTGTTTACCTTCTGTGTCTCATACTCCCCTGTCCTCTGTCCCTTTGCCCACAGCAACGGCGCTCATGCCAGCTCCGCGTCAAACCCGGCCCCCAAGAACATCGATCACCACTGGGACGACCCAGATGCTGCCTACATGTGCTCTTCGAATGCCAAGTACTGCGGAGTCATGTATCAGCCCATCGCGGTGTACCTCCTGTGGTACGGTCAGTTCACAGAGGCGCAGAAGCAGATCATGCGGACGTTTATCGAGTCACTCGATAGCAGCAACAAAGACACCTCCGTGACTGGTATGTTCCAGAGCCCCATATTGTACTCTTAGTTGTTTATTTCGTATGCACCAAAACAGAATCTGAGCTAACACTGCTCCTCCAGAAATTTAGGTAAAAAAGCAGAGAGAATCCGTAGCCACTCAGTCACTGTCCTGAACCCAGCCAAACTTTTTTCCAGCAGAGTATTTCTGGAGAGAGCTTGGAGACACAAACCTGCCTTTGCACCCAACCTTCTCATACCCGGAACCCACAGCATGAAGCCGTCTCTCAACGGCTTTGATCTCGTCCCAAGTATCTCCCTCACGTTACCTCCTTTTCCACCCCTTCCTGCTCCCATTCCCAGCAGTCCCCAATTGGTGGAACATCAACCGCCTCTACTACGACGCACAGGGAAACTACATTTCCGGATCTGTGACTCTAAAGGGGGAGATGGACGACCCAGCCTATTCCAAGGGCACCACCCTTTACAACTCCGGCGTGGCTGATCTTATCTCTTCAGCTGTGAACGACGGAAACCTGCCTTATGACGCAAACGGGGTGTACTTTGTCCTCGGAGATCCCAAGGTCGCGCAAGAGGACGACTCCAGCTACACTCCCACAGGCTTCTGCACCAGCTACTGCGGCTGGCACGCGTACACCCACGACAACCTCGAGCTCGTGATCTCCTTTGTCGGTAATGCGGTAACCAGGTGCCCCGAGGGATGTATCCCGCCGTACCTGAACCAGCCCGGGGCAGTGCCGCCCAATGGCGATGCGGGCATGGATGGCATGGTGTCGGTGTTGGCGCATGAACTCGCGGAGGCCACCAGCAGCCCCTTCCTCGCCACGTGGTTCGATGCACAGGGCGAGGAGAACGCCGACATTTGCGCGGGTGACTACGGTGATGTGGCGCAAGATGCAACCACAGGGGCTTACTTCAACCTGGAAGGTGTCCGGGGCTCTAAGTTTATAGTGCAGGCGAATCTTGACCCAGTTACTGGCCGCTGTGTAATGCAGGCTGCTGGGCCGGAAGCTGTGGGAACCCCGAGCCAGCCACCCACCACACCTGTCCCCACCCCGAGTCTTCCCCCTGTTTCAGAGCCACCTGTTACCGTTCCAACTCCTCCGGTTACCGTTCCAACACCTCCGGTTACTGTCCCGGAGCCACCTACGGTTGTTACACCTGAGCCACCTGTGACAGAAGGCCCTCCTCAAACGACAACATGGGAGTCTTTTGTCTCTTTCATCAACAGCTTGTTTGGGTTCTAGTAGCTACGAGCAACATGTACACATGTTTGTTCAAAATATAATTTCAGTTGTGGGATTCATGTGATATATCAGCATGTTTGGCCATGGAGCACTAAGAGATGCTAGTAACTTGCAATCATTCTCGTTCAACAAGAGTCCATGTTGGGGCATACTTCATGTGCAACATAGATACACAACAATAAGAATAGACAAACACATTCAAGATCGAATCATCCCCTGCGTGATAACCGCATAAAAGTATGTATCCGATTAAGGAGGAGTGCCACTCCTTATGGCACTTCGTAGAAGTAGGATGCTTGGTCCTTTTGTATCAAAATAACTTAGGACTCTGCTTGCACTCCGTGCAATTGCGAAAATATAGTTTGTATTCCAGTATCGAGTATTGGTCAAACACGGGAGGGCAGATTGGTCACAGGATCTCCCACAGCGTTGCGGTAGGTCCACCAGTCCAGTGGCAAAACATAACTTTTATTAACCCTCCATTTGAACACACACGGCCCATCAGAATTCCTACACGACGCGGCGCGGGCAGAGATCAGGCGAGTATTTTGACCGGTGCGGGCAGCCAACCGTCTGCCGATTAACCCTCCAGCAAACCGCGTGCCAGGCAGGCAGGGCCCTCCCAGCGAGGCACCGAATTTACGTGCTAGGCTATAGTCTGGGGCGACAATTGGAGCAGGAGAGACGACAAATTTCGGCAAGCAAACGAGATGCGCGATTCGACGTAGCTGGGAATGGAAGGCCTGCGATGCGATGTGATCGGTGTAGCCTACGAGACGTGGGAGAGCCGCGCCTAAGGGCACCGTCCAAACGAAACATATTCCAAACTAGCCACACCCACTTTCTGACCGCACTAAATCGTCTCGGTTCGTTCACGCTCATGCATCTCCGCCTGCCCTAACTGCTTTCCCAGGTGACCAAGCGACGCATCAAACGTTTTCACCGGATGGTGTCAGCTGCCCTCCACGGCCACCAGGATTCTATCCCAACCAACTGTTTCACATCAATTCGTGCTGCCCCGCAGTCCCTTTTTTGCGCCCCTCAAATGTTTTCCGTCTTCCCATGCCGAATTTGAACTGGTGCATCGACGTTCGGGATATTCCCACAATGCCACTTCAACGCCTCTGAGGTTCGTTTTAGGCTCCCTGTGCTTCACTTAGCTAGCGATCCGCCACTACCCACCGATCGTCGCGAACCACCTCTTGTTCCCGTGTCTCCCTAGAGCAAAGAGAGGCCCAACACAAATGTATCAACGAGAGGGCCACCCACTTCCCCGTTGCGAAGCAAAGTGACCACCACCGAGCATTCCTCCCACGTTTGGTCGGCGTAGCCACGTCAGCGTTGTTTGCGGCCCCTATCTTCACGCCTCACGGGAGGAGAACTCCCTGCGGATAGCGACTTTGACTTCCCAGCACAAAACCCAACCGGCGATACTCAGTCACTGCTCAGCACTACTACGATCCTCGTGGTCGAGTCTTGATCGAGTCATAAGTCCAGTCTTAGTCGATCTCGATACCAGCACCCAGCGCTTTACCTAGCTAAGAGTCTCTACTAATCAGCAGGACTCCATGGCGTTTACTTCCCACTGTCGTCGGTCGGCGTTTAGTTGTCACTGTCGTCGGTCGTTTCCTCTACGAGCCATCGTCGCACTCGTCCTCTTCGCCGCGGTCTCCAGCATCGCCTGCGCCCGGCCGCACAGACGACTCCTCGTAAGTCGCGCGAAACTCCCACCGCGTCGCACGAAACTCTTATCTCGTCTCGCGAAATTTGTTTACCGTATCCGTCTAAGCCCTTGCCTTCTCCCCGTCGTCTCCCGCTTCCACCTCTCAACTCGCGCCGCGTTAATCGGCTTACAGAAATGGCCTAGGTGTACAGACCGTTACTAATGTTCTACTTCCTTTCCCCCTTCCTTCATTTTTCGAATCGGCGCGCAGAAATGGCGCATGCGCACAGATGACGACCTGCTGCTGCGCGGAGCGATGCCGCAAGGAATCGCGCAAGTCATCGACTCGAGGTGAGCAGTCCTCGATATACTACTTCCTCGATATACGACTTCCTCGATATACTACTTCCTCGATATACTACTTCCTCGATATACTACTTCCTCGGTACTACTTCCTCGGTACTACTTCCTCGGTACTACTTCCTCGGTAATACTTCCTCTGTACTACGTCCTCTGTACTACTTCCTCTGTACTACTTCCTCTGTACTACTTCCTCTGTACTACTTCCTCTGTACTACTTCCTCTGTACTACTTCCTCTGTACTACTTCCTCTGTACTACTTCCTCTGTACCACTTCCTCTGTACTACTTCCTCTGTACTACTTCCTCTGTACTACTTCCTCGACATACACTCGTGTAGTTGAAAGTTCATGAAGCCGACTGAAGCACGCTCATACGAATGTTTTCTCGCCTCGTCCCTCCTCCATCCCACCCGTTTCCTCCATCCTCATTCTCTCTCTCTCTCTCTACCCTTTTTCTCCTCCCTTCCGTCCCTCTTCTGCTCTGTACAGTGTTAGCGACCCTGGCCCCCCTCCTCCGTATACCGTAAAACCCGCCACTTCCGCCGACTCCGCGTCCTCCGCTGCCCCCTCCGCCACTTCTTCCGCCTCCCCCGCTTCCGCTCCCGCCGCTTCCCCAGAGGCGGTGAGCCAGATGATCGTATCAGCACTCCGCGGGTCACCTTCCGCCTCCGCGGCTTTCCCCCCGCGCGGCTCCCCTTCCTTCCACAACATTGACCCGCATTGGGATGATACCGAGGTTTCGAGCGTGTGCAGTCCCGATACAAAGTACTGCGGCGTTATGTATAAGCCGATTTCAGTGTACCTTTTGTGGTACGGCAAGTTTACAGAATCTCAGAAGCAGATCATCCGCACGTTTATCGAGTCACTCAATAACAGCAACGACACCGACGCTACAGTTCCCAGCTGGTGGAACGTCAACCGCTTATACTACGACGCTTTGGGCAACCACATTTCCGCATTTGTGACTCTAAAGGGGGAGCTCGATGACGCGGATTACTCCAAGGGCCGCACCTTGCTAAGCACCGACGTGGCGAACCTCATTTCGTCCGCGGTTACCAGCAAGCGTTTCGCCAACGACCCCAATGGCGTGTACTTCGTTCTGGGAGACACGTCGGTGGCTCAAGAGGACGATACTACGCCCGAGCGGTCTGCGTTTTGCAACAACTACTGCGGCTGGCACTTCTACACGCGGGATCAGCTGGAGCTCCCCATCGCCTTCGTCGGCAATGCCGTCACCAGGGTAAGAAGCACTGACAACCCGCACAACCGCACCCAGCCCATGCATCTGCAGTTTCATCTTCCGAGACCTTAGTTGTTCATCCTGGAATTGCTGCACATGCTTTTTTCCTTCCACGTTTTTGAGAAGTCTATCCTCCCTTACCCACTCCTCACTCTGCTTTCCTTCTCCCCCTCCCCCATCCCTCTCCCCTCCCTCCCCCTTCCCCCAATCCCACAGTGTCCCAAGCGATGCATCCCTCCCCATCTCAACCGGCCCGGAGCCGTGTCCCCCAACGGCGACCTGGGCATGGACGGCATGGTCTCGGTGTTGGCACATGAACTCGCAGAGGCCACCAGCAGCCCCTTCCTCGCCACGTGGTTCGACGCCCAGGGCGACGAGAACGCTGATATTTGCTCTAACGAGTACGGGGATGTGAAGCGGGATGCGGCTACTGGAGCGATGTATAATATGGTCGGGGTGAGAGGGTCGCGGTTTATAGTGCAAGCGAATCTGGACCCTGTAAGGGGGGCGTGCTCGATCGAGGCGGACGGGCCTGGAGCGGATGTTCTGACGAGTGAGGACTTGTGAAAGGAGGTTGTGTGAGTGTGGAGGAGTGTGGAGGACGAGAGGATGCGACGAGCTTCACGCCAAGACGGCTCCAATCAGATACGGACCGTCGACGGAGACACACGGCACAGATCACCTCGTCACCCTGCCACCCTCCCTCCCTTCCTGCAACCCCCCTGCACCCATTGCACTGCATTGCACCCCTCTCTTCTCCCTCCATTGGCAAACAAGACTTCCCAAATAACAGGCTCTCAACTCTAGCGTAAGCCACCTGTTCCAACTGCAAGCCCTCCCTCTCCTCCCTCACCTCTCTCGCCTCCCTCTAGGGCTTGCTCTTCAGACGCTGTGGCAAGGCAGCGCGTTTCCCTAAAAAGATGACCAAAAAAGGTGACCAAAAAAGCAGCGGCTACAATATAAGGCGGTACAAGGTCTCTCGGGAGGCCGCGGGTGTACTAGTTGGCATCATTGCTAATGGTGGCCTTGGATAGGCTGAGGAGGGGATGGGGGTGCCTAACCTGAGACCTTTTACCGCCTTATATGGGATATTCTTAAGGAAACGGATATTTGAAATACCTTGTTGGTACATCTTATAGTTTATTGCAATGAATATCATTGTTGAGATAACAAATGAAGCATTGATCGCTATGTAGTATGCATTACGATTTTTAATTCGGAACCTCGAATGCTCCCCACAAATTTGTCGTGCGGTGATCCCAAGGTTCCCCTGAAACCTTCCAGAAATCGGATAGTTGATAACTCCGAGAAAACTGCCAAGAATTACCATAACTTCGTCGCGCACTGCTGCTTCTGCTGGCTGTAGCACAGTCTCAGGTTTCTAGTTCATATTCCCATCCCCGTTTGCACCAGACGGCGCCCCCGCGAGTATTTTCCCGCTGCAGGTAGTGCGTAAGCCGTTTACTTTTCTAAGAGCGACTGGGGTCTAATCGACTGGGTGAACCGGTCTGACGCGAATCCATAATGGACGACGAAAGGTGAGCGACGTTTAGGTGCGTCTTCAAAGACTACAGGAGCAACTTTTGAAGACGTCTCTAACGACGACTGGTAGTTGGCCGATGCGCATCGATGCTGAGTCTCTGATGCAAAATAATTTCCGCCGTTCTTTTCTTCTTTTTCTTTTTCTTTAATGTACGAAGTTGAACGTTTCGGCGGGAACAGAGTAGAATACATTACTGCCCGTTCGATAAGATTTGTCATCGTTGGCGCCGAAACCAACACATCCATCCGGTTCCCCCGTCCATTTTTGAGGCGCCTAAAAAATAGCCTCCTCATCGTTGGCGCTGAAACCAACGCATCCATCCGGTTCCCCCGTCCAACCCCCGTCCTTTCCCCCGGCCGTAATGAGTCGATTTTTGAGTCGACTCAAAAATCGACTCATTACACACGGATTTGTCATCGTTGGCGCTGAAACCAGCGCATCCATCCGGTTCCCCCGTCCACCCCCCGTCCACCCCCGTCCACCCCCCGTCCTTTCCCCCGGCCCTTCCCCCCCCCCCCAATCCTGGCCCCTCCCGCCCACTCCACTCTCTTATCTTCGTCATCTCTTGTCTTCCCCAATCCCTTATCTTCCCCACTCTCTTTTCTTCGCCACTCTCCGCAGCCCCGAGAGGGCGCGGGGAGCGCAGGGTCGCTGGGTCTCCGAGCGGATAGAAACCGTCGGATCAGATCTCCCACCCGCAACCAACGGTGGATTTCGCGGCGGCCCCAGTGGCGGCAGAGGCGGAGGCGGAGGAAGGGGAGGGGGCGGATGGGGAGGGGGAGGCGGAGGAGGCGGAGGAGGCGGAGGAGGCGGATGGAGGGATCAAGACCGCTGGCGCGGCGGCGGTGGAGGGGGCTATGGGGACGAGGGGAGGTATGGCGGCGGGTTTAGCAGCAGCCGGGGGTATAACCGTGATGATGAGCGGGGGAGGGGGAGGGGGAGGGGGTGGGGGGGGGATCGGTACCAAGAGCAGGGGGCTTTTGGGGGAGGAGCGGAGGGGATGGATATGGATGTAGATGCTGGTGCGGCTGCAGCTGCTGCTGGTGGTGATGGTGGGGAAGGGGCGCCTGCTTTCGTGCATCCCGACCCTCAGCACATACCGAGATCAGCTCGCTTCTTCCTGGTGAGCCCTCCAGAACTGGTTGTTTTTCCTGTCGAGTCGTTTCAAAAGGCATCCCGACCCTCAGCACGCACATCCCCAGATCAGCTCGCTTCTTCCTGGTGAGCCTTGAGCCGCTCCGCTCTACAGCATGGATAATAGGCTCTTTTCAGTACTGCTTAATAGTTGTAAACCGACTAGACACCCAAAATTTACTCCTCCCCTCCCCCTTCCCCTCCCCCCCTCCTCTCCCCCAACCCCCTCCCCTTTCCTGAACCCTCTCCCCCTTCGGCAGCATGACGACCGTTTGAATGAACCTGTTCGTCGCCGCCGCCCCCCTTCAGGTAAGCCCCGCCTGAGGTAGTCCTCTACCGTCAGGTAAGCCCTGCCCTTGAATAAGCACTGCCCGCAGGTAAGCCCTGCCCTTAAGGTAAGGCTGAATCTATGGAATCGCTTCTCTGTAGCCCGGTGGAGGCTTTATTCCAGAATGTACTCTTCTGTTCCCCCCCCTCTTCGCCCGCTGTTTCTCCCAGATTACTCCACCCTCAACAGCAGCACATGGGGCCCGAAGCCTGGAGATTCTTCCTTCGATGTGGAAGACGAAAGGGATGTGGAGACAGGGCGGGGTAAAGAGAAGAAGAGGGAGCGGGAGGGAGAGAGGGGAAGGGACGGGAGCAGGGGAAAGGATCGGGGGAAGGAACGAGGAGGGGAGGAGAGGGAGAGGGATGGGGATAGGGAGAGGGATAGGGATAGGGATAGGGACAGGGAGAGTAAGCGGAGGAGGTATGCGGATGATAGGGAGAGAGGAGAAGAGGGAGGAGGGAGAGGAGATAGGGGAAGGGGGTCAGGAAAGGAGAAGGCGGAGAAGGACCGGTGGGGCCATGACAAATATGAGGAGGGGCAATCAGAGAAGACGGTGGGGCGTGAGAAAAAGTGGGCGGGCTTGCGGGAAAAGGAAGCGGAGGTGGTTCCAAGGAGGAGGAGCTTTGTTGTTGCAGGCAAGGCCGAGAAGGCAGGTGATGCTGCTGCTGCTGCTAATGCTGCTGCTAATGCTGTTGATGGTGCTGCTGGTGAAAAAGAGCGGGAGAGGGAAAGGGAAGGGGGAAGGGAGCAGAGGAGGAGCGATCGTGTTGAAAGAGGCAGGGAGCGGGGCGAGCGCGCCCGGGACTGGGTGGAAGAAACAGCCAAGTACCGCGGGCACTACTACTATGGCCGCGACCATGCCTACCCTCGTGCTGCAGAGCCTGGGCGTGGGTATGGCGATAGGTCCAGCGATAGGTCTGGCAATAGGTCCGGCGATTGGTCTGGTGATAGGTCTGCTCATAATCAGTCGAGTGCGGGGATTGGAAGAGGGGGGAAGGCGCCTCTGGGTGATGATTGGAGGGATGAGGAGCAGCCGGTGAGGGTGAGGAGTTTCAAGAGAGAGGGAGGAGGGGAGGACAGGTGGCAGCATGACAGGTTTGGCGACGTGGCTAAGAGCCCCACGCCTCCGCCGTCTGTTGCTGGTGATGCTGGTGTTGGGGTTGGTGGTGCTGATATCAATCGGATCGAGCAGCTGCTAGCAAGTTAGCATGGTGATGGGGTGATTACAGCAGGTGGTAGCAGCAAGAGGGAGGGGCGAAGGCGCCTCTGGGTGATGACTGGAGAGACAAGGAGCAGCCGGTGAGGGTGAGGAGTTTCGAGAGGGAGGGAGGAGGGGAGGACAGGTGGCTGCCTGACAGGTTTGGCGACGTAGCTAAGAGTCCCACGCTTCCCCTGTCTGCTGGTGGTGGTGGTGATGGTGCCGGTGTTGGTGATGGTGCCGGTGTTGGTGGTGCTGACATCCATCGGATCCAGCAGCTGCTAGCAAGTTAGGGTGGTGATGAGATCTCATGACAGGTGGTGCTGCTGGTAGTGCTGCTGGTGGTGGTGCTACTGCTGGTGTTGATGCTGGTGGTGATGCTGCCGCTGGTGGTGTTGGTGATGCTGATATCAGTCGCATAGAGCAGCTGCTAGCAAGTTAGGATGCTGAGGAGATATCATGACAGGTGGCAATGCTGCTGATGCTGGTGGTGGTGGTGGTGGTGCTGCTGCTGCTGCTGGTTCTGTTGCTGATGGTGATGCTGGTGCTGCTGCTGGTGGTGCGGGTCTCAGTTGGATCGAGCAGCTGATTGCAAGCGGATGGCCGAAACTGCTGACGCTGCTGGTGGTGTGCAGGCAGCGGGTGGTGCGGGTGGTGTTGGTGGATTTGGCAGTTTTGGCGGTGCTGGTGGTGCTGGTGGTGCTGGTGGTGCTGGTGGTTCCGGTGGTGCTGGTGGTGCTGGTGGTGCTGGTGGTGCTGGTGGTGCTGGTGGTGCTGGTGGTCCCGGTGGTGCTGGTGGTGCTGGTGGTGCTGGTGGTGCTGGTGGTTCTGGTGGTACTGGTGAGCCGACTTTCTGTCAGGGTCGAACACAGTACAGTAGTTGCTTGGACCATTTGATCTGCGATATCCATTTCAGCAATGAACGGTACTAGATAAACAGAATCATAAATGTAGACAGGGCACAAAGTTAGCAGGTTGAGTAGGGAGGGAACTATTGCCCCACTCTGACAGGTAAATCAGACCAGATGGCTCGAGCTAACACCCACATTGCATGTTTCTCCGATATACATATGCCCTCACAGCTTGGGCAGTCTTGGCCAACTTGTTGATCACAACTATCTTGATGAAGGCGCCTTCCAGGGTTGCGCTGTGTTGGCAAACCCCCCTAGCCCGGACTGACATGTGCTCTCACACCGAAACAATCTGCATTTCCCTCCCATATGTGTACCATAGGTGAGGGCATCTCCCTCCCTTATCTGAAGTGCACTAGGTGCATCATTGCGTGTATCATACTGGTGTGGCTTGGGCAGTCTTGGCGATCTTGATGAAGACGTCTTCCAGCGTAGTGTTTGTGAACCCCCACGCCCGGATCGACATTTCCTCTCGGACCGAAGCAATCGCCGCAAACACGTCCGCCACCTCCACCTCAGCCATGGGCATCTCAAACTTTTGCGTGCCCGCCAGGCTGTAGATCCGCTTCGCATTCGGGCAGATGGAATTCACGACCCGCCCGATGTTCTCCTCTTCCTCCAGGGGTGTGGTAACCGTCAGCACATATGTCCCCCCGTAACGTGTGGTGAGCTGGCGTGCGTTACCAATGCACTCAAACTGACCGCTCACGAAGATACCCAGCCTGTCACAGAGAGCTTCTGCCTCTTCCATAGAGTGAGCTGTTGTGGGGGGGGGAGGGCAGGAAGGGGGGTGGGGAGGTTAAGTTGGGTTACACAAATGCCTCGAACCGACCACTGAGAGACAGGTAAAAGTGGTGCAAAAGAGGAAGTGCTATCAAAACAAAACAAAACAAAACAAAAGGCAAGAGAACGCGTGGTTCATTTTTTTAACACGATTGTATTTTGAGATAAACGAAAGAGAGAGGGAAGGAGTACAACTCACTCGTGAGCACAATCGCCCTGTCCTTCTTAGCAGCCTTCACCACATCCCAAAGCAGCTTCCGCGAAGCGGGGTCCAGCCCGGTGCTGGGCTCGTCCATGTAGACCACAAGGGGGTTGCCTATAAGGGAGATGGCCACGCTCAGCCGCCGCTTCATGCCGCCACTGTACTGCCCCGACACCTTGTCCCCCACGCCCCCTGCCAGCAGGTTCACGCTCTTGAGGGACTTGTCCACTGCGTCCTTTAGCTCCTGGCCCCGCAGGTTCTTGAGCCGCCCGTAGAAGAGAAGATGCTCCCTGCCGGTCAGCTGCTCCCAGAGAAGACTGATAGTGGGGGGGAGGAGAAAGAGTCATGGGAAAGAGGAAGGGGGGGGGGGGGAGGGAGGTCAGATGGAGGGGTGAGTGAGGCTCCGCTGTACTGCCCCGACACCTTGTCGCCCACGCCCCTGCCAGCAGGTTCACGCTTTTGAGAGACTTGTCCACCACGTCCTTCAGCTCCTGGCACCCGCAGGTTCTTCAGACGCCCGTAGAACAGCAGATGCTCCCTGCCGGTTAGCTGCTCCCAGAGAAGATTGCAGGAAGAGGAGGGGCGGGAGGGGGGGCCAGTAGAGAAGGGAGTGAGGGGGGAGAGAGAGGGAGGCCCCGCTGTACTGCACCCTCCCTGGAATTCAACACAGGCACATCAAACCACACTCACCCCCACCAAACCACTCTCAACCACCCTCGAGTCAGCGCTACTCACTCGTGCTGTGGGCACACCCCCATAATCGAGTAGATCGCATCCATATCCTCCACAATCCCCATGCCCTCGATGATCGCCGCGCCCTCGCTGGGCTTTAAGAACCCCATCATCATGCTCAGCGTGGTCGTCTTGCCCGCCCCGTTTGGCCCCAGCATGCCGAAGCACTCTCCCCGGGCCACGGCCACTGAGAGATCCCGCACGGCCACCTTCTCCTTGTTGCCGTCACGCCCAGGGTAGACCTTGCGCAGATGGTCACAGATTATGGAGTAGTGCTGGTCCGAGGACGGGGGGTCGTCGGAGTGGAGGAGGGAATCCACCAGCGCTTCCTGTCGGGGGAATAGAAGGTGGTGGGCAGAAGGTGAACGGAGTGGGAAGAGAGGGGAGAGATGGGGCGAATGAGTACAGGTTCGGATTCAGCATGCCAAAGCACACCCATTGGGCCACCGCCAGTGAGAGATCCCTGACCGTGAATCAATCGCATCCCATGCAACCACCCATGCAACCACCCATGCAACCACCCATGCAACCACCCATGCAACCACCCATGCAACCACCCATGCAACCACCCATGCAACCATCCATGCAACCACCCATGCAACCACCCATGCAACCATCCATGCAACCACCCATGCAACCACCCATGCAACCACCCATGCAACCACCCATGCAACCATCCCATGCAACCACCCATGCAACCACCCATGCAACCACCCATGCAACCATCCATGCAACCACCCATGCAACCACCCATGCAACCATCCCATGCAACCATCCCATGCAACCACCCATGCATGAATCAAATCCCAAGTAGACAGGAAGAATAGCAGAACTACATACCTCTTCCAAAACATCGGGCTTGTCCCTGTCGCCCTCCCCCCCCCTCTCCCCATCGCGCTACTACTCCTCCTCACCCCCTCCCCCTTCTTCCCCTTCCCCTTGAACAGCTTCTGGAGCCCCAGCAGGGGATGCTTCCGAACGCCGCTACCCACCGCAACCACCTGATCCAGGTACAGCCCCACCAGCAGGAAAACGAGCGCCTCTATAAAGAGGATGAGAACTGCCGTGAAGAAGCCTGTGCTCTGCGCCGACTGCCACGTCAGCGTGCCGCCCGTGCCCATCATGGCTGCATCGTACGCTGACGTGGCGAAATCGTAGAGGCAGTGGTAGATGGAGAAGGCGGGGATGAGCTGGAGAACGATCACCAGAGCGTCTGGTGGTGAGGCGGGGGACGGGAAGGGGGGGGGGTTGTGGGGGAGAGAAAGAGAAAGAGAAAGTGGGAGGGATTGAACATGAGTAGCATGAGTTGGTGACCCTCTGTATAAGTCGTGGAGGCAGTGGTAGACGGAGAAGGTGGGGATGATCTGGAGAACGATCCCCACAGCGTCCGGTGGGTGGTGGTGAGGCGGGAGGAAGGGGTGGGGGGGAAAGAGAAAGAGAAAGATGAGTTGGTGACCCTGTGTTTAGATGGAGAAGGCGGGGATCAGCTGGAGAACGTTCACCAGAGCGTCTGGTTGTGGTTGCAGAAAGGGGAGGGGGAAGAATGGGGGAGAGTGAGTAAGGGAGGAGCGACAGCATTCAACCAAGTCGTAGAGGCAGTGATCGATAGACGGAGAAGGCAGGGATGAGCTGCAGAACAAGAGGGCAAGGAGGAGAAGAGGAGGAGGTGGAGCGTGCGTGAGTGGCGAGGAATTGTGCCATGTGCCCGCGCTGTGTTGAAACGTAGCATGACTCGGGGAGCAGCCAGAACAAGAACTGCGCTAGGAGCCCGGTGCCAAAGCGTGTGTAATGAGTCTATTTTTTAGTCGACTCAAAACAAAAACAGACTCATTACACGGGGAGCAGCCAGAACAGGAACTGTGGGAGGAGCCCGGTGCCAAAGACGTCGAGGTAACAGACGACGCTGGCGACCTTGGAGTTGTTGGTGACCTGCCTGTTTGCCTTCCCTTGACTAGCGTTTGACCGTGTTTGGCCGTGTTTGGCCGTGTTTGGCCGTGTTTGACCGTGTTTGACTTACTTGACACGGTGCAGGATTCGAGGAAGAGGCGGAAGAGGAACTGCGCCAGGAGCCCGGAGCCAAAGACGTAGAAGTAGCAGACGATGGTGGCGAGCTTGGAGTTGTTGAAAACGGTGGAGGTGAGGAGGGAGAAGGAGATCTGCGTGAAGATGAACACGCCGTAGGCGAGGAGCTGCAGCCCGATGGGGTTGCCTGTAAACATCTTCAGCTCTGGGGAAAGGGAATGGGGCCAGAAGGGGGGAAAGAGAGCGGTGGAGGTGAGGGGGAAGAAGGAGATCTGCGCGTGAAAGATGAACACGCCGTACGGCAGCAGCTGCAGCCCGATGGGGTTGCCAGTAAACATTTTCAGCTCTGGAAGGTTGGGGGGGGGGGGGTGGGATCAGATAGAGGGAAGGAGGGAGGGGAAAAGGTGGGAGACGGACAGAGGTGGGTGAGGTGGGAAGGAGGGAGGGGGAAAGCGAGTGGCAGAGGTGTGTGGGGGGGGAGGCTACCAGTTAACATCCTGGGATGCTGACGAAACGGGCAGTCAGAGAGAGACAGATAGACAGGCAAACAGACAGACAGACAGACAGGCAGGCAGACAGACAGACAGACAGACAGACAGACAGACAGACAGACAGACAGACAGACAGACAGACAGACAGACAGACAGACAGACAGACAGACAGACAGACAGACAGACAGACAGACAGACAGACAGACAGACAGACAGACAGACAGACAGACAGACAGACAGACAGACAGACAGACAGACAGACAGACAGACAGACAGACAGACAGACAGACAGACAGACAGACAGACAGACAGACAGACAGACGGACAGGCAGGCACACTAACGGATGATGAATCCAGCTACAAGGAACACGGCGATGAAGGTGATGGACATGATGGTCAACTACAAGTACGAGATGAGGTGAGGACGGAGGGGGCAAGGCACACAGCCACTGTCAGACAGGCCGAGACAGGCAACCATTTCCACTTACGAATTATGAAACCAGCTATCAGAAACACGGCGATGAAGATGATGGACATGATGGTGAAGTACGAGTACGAGATGAGCCAGTAGGGCCCGTCTTTCAGCCCATGCATCCGCATCATCATCCGCAGGTTCTTCTCCTTCTCATACACTAGGCTCGCGGTGAACACCGGATAAAGCAGCTGCAGCAGCCACAGGTAGAACAGCGGCCCGAGTATGGTCGCCAGGTCCACCCCCACCGAGTCCTGCGGCCGCGGGAAGTCTTTCA